GTTGCCAATATTCACAGCTTGTGCTACAATAATATTTCCTTTTGGCAGTTGTAGCTACATAAACTTGGCAAAACTTTGAGAAACAAAAAAGTCTTGTCCAGGTCACATAGGGTGAAATGTCTTTTTGTTGTGTAAATCAAGCCTCTGGCAGTGCCCTTGGTTTCTCTGCTGGCTGTCTGAGATCTCCTACTGCGTTCTGACTACCAGCACTAGTGAAACAAGCATAATGAATGTTAGACTTCCAAACGGTGCCTGGCGCTGCTTGCAGTCTCTATATTTCTCCCATTTTCTGTCTGTTGTCCACTCCTCTCCTTCCTCCCTCCTCTTGCTCTCTATATTTTCTTTGTTTCTTGCTGTGTTTTTCTGTTTAAATCACCCTCTCTCATATGAAAAAAAGCACATTTTTCTGCGCAGGACAGGTTTGTGCCATTTAAAAATCATTCTATGTAATTTCATCTGTCACCTCGGGAACATGGCAGTATGTCCTTGTATGATAAACTGTGGTCTTTTAAAGAAACAGAAGTGACTTGACTGCTGACACAAAAGTCATTTAATTAGAAATAATCAAATTAAAAGAAACCTTCTGTAGAAGTGGTGATAATTCCCTCTGCAGCCTCTTCCTACTTACATAATTTCTTCACAACTCTCACTGCTTCCTCACATGCATCTTAATGGGTTTTCATGCCCGGAGCAGATACAAGACCGGAGCAGGAATCTGCTGCATTGTGGTATATCTGGCTGGTTCAATAATAATTCATATGACAACACCCTCAGCTATCACACAACCCCCAAAGTGTCACTTTTCAACCACTGTGCCTTTGGGTAGACAAGCTCACCCTGAATAATTTAGCCACAGTAGTCAGTGAGCACGTTTGCCCAGGGGAAGTTCCTGAAAAGTACATCATGTCTACCCTGAGGCACGATTCATCGGATGGTGACAGCTTCAGTTATGTTTGATAGCTGAGGATGTGCACAGCCGTAATCACTATAAACCCACGTATATCACACTGTAATAGAGGACGTGACCCAGGGCACAAGAATCTGTGTATTCACCAACACTAACAAGAACTTGGACATAAATGGAACATGACTCACTGATAGAGACTTGTACCCAGTGGGCAGTTTAATAGATACCCCTAACTAAAACTAATGCAGTCAACAGTCCTGTATTAAATCCTCTTGTCATGGAAGTGATAATATTCAAGGTTTGTTGAAACTGTTTTCAGAGAAGTGCTAATTCAACTGTGCGATTAGAAGCTGCAGTTTGTGCTGTTGTTGAACTGCAATGAATTACATAGAGATGTGTCTTCATTAGCATAACCTAACTGATATAGAGTGAACAAAATATTGTCCGTCTATTGGTTGGAGTGCGTAAAAGGGAGCATATAACCCCTATTTTGGCATCCCTTCACTGGCTCCCAGTGTCCTTTAGGATTCATTTTAAGATTCTTTTATTTGTTTTTAAGTCTTTAAATGGTCCTGCACCACTGTACCTTCTTGTAGTTTTATATCCTTATAGTCCCTCTCGGTGCCT